CAGTAAAAACAAATGAAAATAAAAAAAATTTAAAAAATAAATACATTAAAAATAAAATTAAAAAATAAGAAAAAAAAAACACATCCTGGAGGCGGAGATGGGGCACATTATGTCACATGACGCTGCACGTGCACTGCGTTGGGTGACGCCACACACCTGATGGGGGGGGTCATATTTTTTAGTTTTTGCCTTGGGGCGCAAAAGGAGCTAGCTACGGCTCTGATGACTGAAGTAAATTTCACTGGGTCTGACTGTTTATGATCATAAGATCCAATTCCATAGATTACGGTCAGCTTTTATCACAACTCTAGTCGCAACAGAGACCTAAGACAAAAGTCAGAAGCTACAAGTTCTATTGTTACCAAAAACAGACTGAACTTAAAACCCAAGTGTAAACATATATCTTCTCTTCACCTTTTTGTGTCCTTAAGTGTATTGAAACATAATGCATGGATATGAATAGCATGTCAGTGTTAACTTATACTCATCACTGCCACTGTGTACAGTCCTGCCTGGCAGGGAATGGGACCCGATTGTTCTCTTCTGCAGTTTCACTTTCACTTACAGTTCGCCTCCCCACTTCCAGCCGGTGATAGGACAATAAAAGAAATAGCACACCAATGCGATCTTCTGTCCTCTATCTGTCACGTTGGTTTTACTTCCTATCAGCTTACACTTCTTGCATTTAAAAAATTACATTTAATGACATATGAATGATCACAGAGCAGCATTTATTTGTGTCTTTTATATCTGCCTGGATTTCAGGTTTAAAGTATATGTGTATTAAAGCGTATTTGTATAATGAATACAATCCTTATACAAGAGTAAGATTGAGAGAAATGTACATTCGTTTGTTTTAGAAATGGCACTTCTACATGTTTTGTTTTCTTTTTTCATTAGTATTGAATGGCCAATGGCCACATTTTACATAGGAATATAAACTTAATTGTTTGATTTGAAATACTTATTTTTCTGGTGATATGCACATGGTCCACAATTCCTTGTTGACCCATTGAACCTTTTCTTAGCATCGTCTTTAAAGTGTAACTGTCCTTGACAATGAAAGAGACCTTCTCATTGTCTGCTCCCTTTTGGCAATCTATAACATAGTGTTAAAAAGTGTTCACATGGCGGAGTTGGCTGGAGGCAGGAAACAAAGTAGTGTGTTGTTCTGAGTGACTTTGCTTGAGTTTCCCCTTTGATTCTGAGAATGATACACTTCTATAGAAAATGACAGACATTTTGACAGGTGCAATATGCTTTGAACTGTCTTGCCACATCGTGCTTTTGTCTTGCATTTTCCCAGCAGAGTGGCACATCTCTTTGAGATGTTGCTATGCATAATGTTTGCTTTTCATCAGGTTTGATGATACCCTCCCACTCCTTTTCTGATTAGATTTAATCCAGTGCACATGAGAATTGAAGCATAAAATAGATAAAATCTGCTTCATATTTTAATCTTCATATTTGGATGGAACCTTCAAAAATACCATTAGTTTTTAATTAACTCTTTACTCAGAGTAACCAATCAATAGTAATACACAATAATAAGCAAGTATCATTAATAGGCAGCTTTAATGTTAGAAAAAAATGGGGGAATATTATTTGTGGCTTTGTAAAAATACACTCACAGATGTGAGAGAATTGTAGCCAGATCCAATGAATGAAGAGTAAAGTGACACTATTATTAGTGCTGACACTGTCCTTCCTTCTGGAGGGTGGCTACTTTTGTTCCTCATGTTCCATGTGTGTGTTGTAAAATAGTCACCGCTCCAAGCTCACTCTCGTAATGGACTACAATCTCAATACAAATTACTAAACTAAACGTGAGATTGTGGTCCATCACAGGAGTGAGCTTGGGGGGGCTACTTTACAACACACACATGGAACATGAGGAACAAAAGTAGCCCCCCTCCAGAAGGAAGGACAGTGTCAGCACAAAGCCACACATTTTATTTGGCTTTGTAAATTTTTACAAAGCCACAAATAATATTCCCCCATTTTTGTTCTAACATTAAAGCTGCCTATTAATGATACTTGCTTATTATTGTATATTACTATTGATTGGTTACTCTGAGTAAAGAATTAATTAAAAACGAATGGTATTTTTGAAGGTTACCCATGGTCCTTGTGTGTGTTGTAAAGTAGCCCCCACCCCAAGCTCACTCCTGTGATGGACCACAATCTCACATTTAGTTTAGTAATTTGTATTGAGGTTGTAGTCCATCACGAGAGTGAGCTTGGAGCGGTGACTATTTTACAACACACACATAGAACATGAGGAACAAAAGTAGCCACCCTCCAGAAGGAAGGAGAGTGTCAGCGTGAATTCAGAGATGATTTGAGGATCTACAGCCGAGTGATACACAAATAAGATACATTTTTGTTAATAGTGAAGATACTTGAATACATTTTTTTTTGGTTTTAACTCCTGAGTTTAGTGTCACTTTAAAAGAGTTTTGGTGATTGGCTGAAGTTATTTGTGCACGTTTACAGGATAAATTTAAAGATAAACTGGGCCACTTCACCTAAAGCCTTCTGGCTAGGCTCTGCTTTTTATGTGCACGAGCAGATGAGGTTTATTCATTTCTGTTGAAGGGCCATCCACAATTGGGAGAAATAATAGATTACTTTTTCATAAGAAGGAACAAAAAAACTGTCTGGCAGTGGAAGAAGGCCAACTCAACTACAAAGATTTCAGAGGCTGTGTGGCTTTGAGCAGGTTCCACTGGAAAGATAAATTGGGTTGGGTAAGTATAAGACTTGAATGGGGAGTAATTAGAAGGAAGGGTGACATTTAAAAGGATAACTGTACTTAAAGAACATTATTCTTGAAGGCTGGCCAACCAAAAAAGTATCTCGCTTTTACTAGTGATGCAACAGATTTAACCATTTGGCTATTACACTAGCCCACTTACTGCTATACTTTCTGTGTCACTGATCAGGATATCAGTAGCCTTTATTTGCATATTTGTTATAGATCAGTGACTAACATTATTTCTGCACGATGGTCGTATGACAGACAGACAGTTCGTAATGCACAGTAAGAAGTTAGCATGGGTTTCATTTCAGCAAGGCCAGTGATTATTGGGTAGTCTATGGAGCTACTAGTTCCAAGCAGGTTAAAACAGTTTTATGACTGGTCATATAAAAATTGCCTTTTTCTTAAGTAAAAGAAAAATCTTTTATAATTTCTGTTTAATTTGTCAGAAAAGTATGGAGGTATAGTTCTTATGGTATTTATTTCCCAGGGATCTTGTGGGCAGGCATATCCCGAAGCCACCTATGCGATTTCCCAGTCAAGGGATTGCAGTGGTGTCAGCTAGGAATTTGGCCAAAACTGATTTCACAATGAAATTACTGATAGAGTAATTTCACTTTTGTACACATTGAGCCAAAGAAGACATTTCAATTGTGTATTTTGAGCTTCTTTTTTTAGATGAAATTTGCCTTTAAAAATACATATTTGAAATACACATATTGGGGCAGTTTTACTTGCCAAAAGATTTGCATTTCCATCCAACCATCCAACCAGTCCTAAGCTTTGTCCTGGCAGGCAGCACAGCAAGGTTGGAGACCTGCCTTTTCTCCATTGCAGTTTAGCAATACTGTCTGGGCTCCTCCATGCCCTCAGCCTATGATTGGACTATTAAGGAGCAGCAAGACAGTTGAGGTAATCACTGTCCTCTTTTCTTTTGTCAATATGTAGCTTGTTATCACATATGCATGAAGAACATGATTTGTTGTACTGGCCCTCCCTCTTGCTATCTGTATTTCCGGGCATTATAGGAAGTTGAAATCAGAACATATTCCAGTACTTAAATTATTTGCGTACTTACTTACCAAAAAATTGTCTTGATGGGAACTATGAGGTAAGTGATTTCCACTCATCCTCAGAGTTAGAGCCGACCGGTGACAAAGAAGCTGTCATAGGTTGGCTCTATTGATCCGGAAGTGAGCGAACACATACCATCGCTCGCTCACTTTCCGATTATTTCCCTGCAGAGAGCGGTGACTTTCAGTCACTGCTCCCCACAGGGATTCCCCCCTCCCCTCTCCCATCCTCCAGCGCTGAGTTAAGAAACGGACGGGGAGGAGGCGGGCACAGTTGGCTTTGCCTCTAGATAGGCAGAGCCAGCTGTCACTCATGCAGCTGGGTGGATCTCAACAGTATTGTGCGGCGCAATAAGTATATCACGTGACCCTAAAGAGAACTATGGTGAAAAATCCCCATAGTTCTCTTTTAAACTTTGCTTTTATATTTGGCTTGAGATCAGTTTTAAATTATATGTTGATTTGCATGTTTCTGAGCAGGCCTATTTCAATTTTTATGTTGAAAATGCCTGCAATCTGCATAAGCGTTTGCACACGTTTGATAATTGAAAAGCTGAAGTTCATTTTTCCACAGAGCAGTAACAATACATGTATATAAACTTTGCCTCATGGAAGGATTGCTTCATATTTTGGCCTATGACTACTTTTTTACACTGGTAGCAGTTGGCTGAGACAGATGCTGAATATACTTGGCACTAAAATTTTTTGGTTATGAGTAGTTTTCTCTGCATAGAAAGCCAGATTATGACAATTGATGCTTTAATCTGCAAAATCTCTATTTCGTAAACTAGACCTGTCATCACAAATAAAGAACTGGATAGTAAAATAATACTTGGCTTCGTCATAATGCCTCCATAATGATGTTGGAAAAAAAAATAATGACAATTTTAATGTTCATTTTTTTATATATAATACGCCTGCCTAAACTTTTACTTTTTTTAAATTATTTTGTAGGGAGTGGGGAATGGTTAGAAGCTCTGTCAGGTTCTTATTGCCATCTATATTCCACCTAGGGAGATTTTCCCCTCACTTCCTGTTTTGGTGACAACTGGGATAGAAAGCATGGGTAAATGGGGATGCAATAAAACCTGGCTAGTACACAATACGATTTCTTTTTAAATAAGTATTTATCTGTCTCAGAAGATGATCTGTGTTTTTTTCCCCAGCATTGTCAGAATCGAGCAGCTTGGGTAAAACGTTAAGACAATCTACAGTATCTGAATTCAGTAACAGTGACCAGGATGCCTTTGATGAGCTGGAAATGTTGGCACCATACACTGGTTCAACACAGTCTTTGGAAAATGCACAGAGTGAGTCTTCTGGAGACTGCTCGTCGGATTCAGGTGTGCTTCCTGCTACTAAATATTATATGTTTATTGCACAGTTGTTGTGTATGGCAAAAGTTCATTCAGTACTAAATTGTGTTCTATGCGTAGTAAAAAATGTATTACCCTCTACTTTCTTTGACTTTTCTATGTCCCATATAGCAAGGATAACTTGCCACAAACTTGTGGCAGGGTTAAATTGCAATTCTTTTTAACTTGCAGCACAAATTCTAGTTGACACTTTTTGAATTTGTAGCAAGTCTACAGCAAGAGTCCTGCAGGTCTTAGCAAGAGCTCCGCAAGTATACAACAGTTTTGCAAAGCACGATGATCTGGAGACTTGCAATGCAGAATTGCTGTAATTGTGCAACAAAATTGTGAAGCTTGGCAAGTCTAGCAATAGTTTAGCAAGTCATTTTCAAACTTGCAGCTCAATTGCTTGCCATCTGGGATATTCTCTTTATATTTTTTTCATGACAGACAGAGAGCACCACAGCACATTTGTCTGACACTGGCCACTAAGAAGCATTCACTGTACTTTAACATGGTCTTAGCATTAGATATATTTTTTTTCACGCTAGGTGCAAATTATGTGTCAGTGTAACACTTCCACGTACCTATTACCTCTCCCAAAGATCACAATACTCTCCCTGGCAATGCCTTCATCATCTTTTCTCTCTGAAAGGATGGAATCATCTTTGTCCAGACATTATCCATGGTCACCTTCTACATCCTGGACTAAGGTGCTGACTCAGAGATGACACAGTCTGTGCTTATTTTGCCTACTGTCCTGGTGCCTGTGCTTTTTTAGGCTTTGGTCACAGCTACCTGCTACAGCCTCTCACCTTGTGACTTTCTACAATGTTGCAGTCTTATACCTGGGGAACAGAAGACTCAGGGAATGCTTCCTCCTGCATGCAGCAGATTAATAACATAATCTCAGCCTAGGCACAGTCATTTGACTTGAGCATATTGATTGACTGATGATTGATGACTGATTTTTAATGATACAGTGCCCAGCTATTGAAAAAATGATACTGATGCTGTATTTTGTGACAAGTCAGACAATGTTTGTGCGCACTATACAATTGCTGAAAGGTCCTCTTTAAAGAAGAACGCTGGGCAATTTTTAAAAATTAATTCTTGCAATGGAGCTAACCCCGCACTGCGAGGGTCAACTGCTTTGTTTGGTGTAGGTGCAAACATATAAAAGTTATACTCACCCTAACCGCCGAGCCAGCCAGCTGTCATAGCACCCACTCCAGCCTCTGTCCTATGCTGCAGTGATGGTATGTCCCTCTGCGTCCTCACGTCTACAGTATACACTGTATATAGAACATGTTGACACCAGGATCCTTAGACCGCTGCAGTGCGCGGGGAGAGAAGCTGGAAGGACCGGTCTAAGAACAAGCTGGCTCAGAGGTTTTGGTGAGTATAACTTTATTATTGTTGTACCTTGATGAAAACAAGCAGTTCACCTTGCAGTGTGGGGGTAGCCCTACTGAAGGATTAATAAAAACATTTGCCCAGAGTTTTTCTTTAAACATTCTCTGGCATTCGTGGGGTGGAACATTGAGCTGGGAAATGCACAGCAAATGTGCTCTTGGCAAATGTGACACCAGTCTAAGCTAGGCAAATGTTCTTAATAACATACCTAATGTCTTAACTGTTAAGAAAAAGTGAAAGTTAGGGACATTTACGGTAATTTTTCCTTAATATAGTAAAAAAATAAACCCCCCAGTGGTGAATAAATACCACCAAAAGAAAGCTCTATCTGTCCCCAAAAAAGGGTATAAAATTCATTTCAGTAAAGCGCTGCATGACGGAATAAATGTCAGTTAAAGTACCGCAGCGCTGAATACTGAAAAATGGCCTGGATGGGAAGGGGGTTTAACACCGCGGATGTCAACTGGTTAAAGATGTGTGGAAGATGCTTTAGTCCAGTTTAACATGAGAGTACAAAACAGACAGAAGAAAACAAAAGACTGCGTTACTTTGCCAAGTCAATTCTCAGCCTGTCTCCCTCTGCTGGCTCAATAGTCACTAGAACAGAATTATTTGGTGAAAAGAAATGTCATTTTAAAATCATGCTGTGATATTTCTGTCTAGCAAGATTTGCCTTTCAATCATTTTTTTTTACAATGCAATTAAATAGTTAAAAGTGTATTTCCACTTTTGGCATAACACCTACTTAATATTTACATGTTCCCATTAACATAGCATATCTTAAAAACAATGAAACATTGCTGCTTAGCTTTTAACTTGCTTCCAAATCCTAAGTAGTTTTCTCTTTCTATCTAGGGGACTGGTGAGTTATGATTACCAAAATTAACCCTGTTTGTACTGTGCTGGCAGATTGCGTTATGAGTTGTTAACTAGATTTCTGTCACCGTCTGTCCTAATAAAGGGTTGACTTTTTTTTCTCTTTCCACCCTGATACACATCTCTCCACTCGGCTCTTAGCAGCCAGGGATGCTCTGGTCAGCATCCTACCCAGCTCCTGGCAACCAGTTACATCATCCAAGAGCATCCCAGGTTGCTAAGGATCAGGCAGGGAGATGTGTAAGGGTTATACACATCTCCCCACCTAGTTTTTACCAATCAGAGTGGGCAGGATGCTGACCAGAGCATCACAGGTTGCTAAGAGCCAGGTGGGTATATGTGTATGGCCCTTACACATCTCCATGCCCAGCTCTTAGCAACCTGGGACACTCTGGTTGGCATCCCAGCCAGCTCCTGGCAACCAGTGATGTCACTGGTTACCAGGAGCTGGGTGGGACATCAGGGGTGCAATTTGTTGTAGATAGACCTCTGGTTGAATATCTCAAGACTTGGGTGATACATTCTATGTTAATGAACTTAAAAAAACTGTCCCTCAGTATGTCCCTTTATTGTACATTTCATTGTCTAAAGAACAATAGGAGCCTCTTTTAAAATTCTGTGTATGAACCTGCTCCAAAGAAACAACTAATAAGGTAGGACATTTAAAAAATATATATTTTTTCAGTATGCTGTGTGATTAGGAACACATAACAAATATATAGAGGGTGCTTGACTACAAAAGATGAAATACATGTTCAATAATATTCAGCATCTCTAGTTGCAACAGGGGAGAAGAACTCCCAAGCAAATATGAAATGTTGGTTCTGTGTCATGACTGATGCAAAGTTCACTGCCAAATAGATATTTTCAGGAAGCATGTGAGTCCCGGAGGAAAGATACTGTAGTTCATATACAACCCAGGCAGCTCAAACATAACTCACATTTTTTTTTAGGTTATGCTTAAAGTGACTCTGTTTTAACCAATCATTATTCCAAACAGGAATGCCTGGTAAATAAGCTAGTGAATAGTTAGGCCACTTTGGCTGATGTTCGCTACAAAAACCAACACTTTCAGGACTATTGATCTCCTTGATCCCCACTGCACACAGCGGTTCCTCTCACTGACCTTCACATCACTACTCTGTCCTCTATTATCCAGTACTGGCTGCATAGCCTTAATCTAGGTAGGTTTACTTATAGTGACAACAGTGTATCATGCCTGACCAATGTCAGCACCACTGGTTATATTCTCCATCAGGAGCTAAAGTGTAAAGGTGCCCATACACCTTACGACCATTGCAAGACTTTTGTCTTGCGATGGTCATAAGCTTATTAAAAGCTTGTACGATCTGCCTATCTTGGACAGGGAGATCGTACTTGCGATCAACGCAAGCCCGCCCATGAGGGGCGGGCTTGCGATGACCGCAATGAGGGGCGGGCTTCCGATCACTGCAAACATGTACACACACTGGCCCGTTCAGCAGTTGTCGAACAAGCAGGCCACGATTCTCGGCGGGTTTTCAAGCCTGCTTGTTCGACGGAAGACGTGCGACCGTACAGTAGAAACGGTCGCACGCCTTCCATACACTGTACGATTATTGTACGATCGCGGGATTTACCGTGATTCTCGTACGAGAGTCGAACAGTGTATGGGCACCTTTAGTGTGACAGCACAGGAGCACAATCAGGAGACCTCATAATAGAAGGTGTCTTAACAAGGACTTTCATGACAGATTTACCAGTAATTCTTTTTATGAAAGCTGCAGGTTTAAAAAAGTCTGAAAAGAACTGTGTAAATTGTATCACTTTAATTATAAAACTGATTGATTGGGTTAAGAACTAGAAACTTTAGGCTAGGTTCACACCAAAATACATGTGTTAACAAATGTTGCTGTGCAGTGTGTTAATCTGCCATATCATTCAATGTGTTGCTAAGAATTACAGTCAAATAACTGGAATGGCAAAATGTAAATACACTCAGCAATGCAGCAAACAGGACCTTTACACAACTGAATGTAACCAAATGCATTGGCTTACTGAAAAATAAAGTATCTTCTCTTGCCTCTGCAGCTTTTTGTGTTTGAAAAATTATTTCCATGCATGGAGGCATATTTATTGTAGACAAGCGAAGCCATTAGCCTTTTTCACCCATGATCAGGGACAGATTTGCACTCTCTGGTGCCCCAAATTCAGGTTTCTTACTGCGCCACTCTCCCCGCCAACCCCCCCTCCCAATGGAAAATAGCAACCAGGTGGCGTGGGCGGCAGGATATTGTTTTACCTTTTTCTTCTTAATTTTTTTATCACTTTTTAATTTTTTTTAATTGTTATATTTTTTTTAAACTTTTTTTACATTTTTATTTATCTTATTATCTTTTACTTTTTTATTTTCTAATTGTTATTCTTATTATTGTTTTAATTCTTACTAATTTTATAATTTTTTTTTACTTTTTATCAATTTTCCATTTTTTTTAATTTTAATTTTATTTCTTTCCCCCTAACTTTATTGCTATCACACAGGAGCATTTGGAGGTGACAGGTTCTCTTTATTGAACCTGTCACCTCCAATACACTGTTCTGGCTCTCCTGTGAAAGCTGAGATGGGAAGGCTGCAAGTGCAGTTCTCCTGTCTCAGTGTTCACACGGAGCAGAGCGGAGAACGGAAGTACTCCTGTCTGCTCCCCACTCTCCATCCT